GCTGTTGTGAAGGACGCCTGTGCTATTAGCCTACATCAGGGTTGAGGGATGGACTACAGACTCCCTCTGAGGTTCCTGCCAGCCCTGCTTTTCTACCATGTTTTTTTCTGCTTGTATAAAGTGATTTCAGTGGTCTATAGTTCTGACATGCAGCACTGGATATGTAAATTAGAGGGATAGAGAAATTAAACTAGTCCCTGCTATTAGATTATAAACCAAGAAGTCCAAAATTAATTACACTGAAAATACAAATAGAGAAAGGATCTGCTTCCGTGAGTGAGAAAACTCTCACTGACTTGTACTGCCCTTGTATCGAACCCAAAGAGAAGAGTCTGTACTATTTGACTTGAGAATTGCTAATGAGTGTGTTGAATAAAATACAAAACTAGGAGGGAACTAAACTTGTCTATAAAAGTCTTCATCCAACCCTACTTAGGCTGCTGTTGAGTTTTAGTTTACTCATCTAGATGTATCAATTGCCTTTTGCCCATAAAAAATGAGTCAACACAACCTCAGCTTTCACTTGCAAAAGAAGACTTGTTGAAAAGGATAGGTTTGGCAAAAAAAATCAAACTTCTGCTGTGGTTCATTTATTCTTACCCCTGACCTATATTGTATAGTGTCGTATAATCAATCTGGAGTCTTGCATAAGTACATGAGGAATTTGTTTTGTTTAACAGCAGCGTGTAGTATTTTTTTTTCTATCATTGTTCATCCAAGATTTAGCAAATTACTGGCTAAATACTGTATATTCTACAGTTTAATATTTCAAGTTAAATTACAGTTCTAATAACTGACATTCAGTGGCAGTCTTATTCATCTAGCTGCTGACATAAGACATTTCAGAATTATGTGTGCAATAGCAATATTCTCATTTAGTTACTCAGAAAAATACATGCCTTGCTAATCACTGCAAAACAGTTAAATCTTTGACCCTGCACTCACAGATGAATGATCAAAATATGTATTTAGCATATATGATTCTCAGCTGATCGTGGTTACATGCTGAAAATACGCTGCTGAATACATGCATGTTAGAGTGTAGTGAACTATAGCTATTATGGAACTTGTAATAATTTCCACATCAGACTGTACTAAGTTTAGTGCTCAGTTAGCAATCTAAAACTTGGGTCAGAGATGACATCTATATTAAGGGTAAAGTACAGGCTGCTCCACAATTCCAACAACAGATAAATAGGCTCCTCTCACTCTATCTGTCAGAAATCACTAATTTTAGGAAGCAATGATCCAATATCTGTCTGTTTGAGCAGCAACTGCCTGCATTGCTGGGTATTAGAGCACTTTTAAAATACAGCTCTCAGTTAGAATGCAAATAAACTCAAGCAAATGGCAGTAACTCAGAGCAGCAGACCACAGGCAAGACTTCTCTCATGGCCTGGCAGATTGCAAGAAGTGACCTTCAGCACCGTTACCAAAGACAAAAGGCTTCATTTCAATTAGTAGTGGTGGTGATCTCCTATTGGAGTTATTAGATCAGGCAGTTATCAGATCAGACTGTTATTAGATCAGACAGAGTAACATTCACGTTACTCCTGAAAACATTCATTCTGTGTTTTGGGAATTAAATTAGAACTGTCACCTTTGACACTAAAGCAGGCATTTCTAAGAGGCAAATGAATGAATCCAAGGGTTCCACAAAAAAATGCCTTTTCCATTAAAAGAAAATCTTGACAGAATTATTCTGGTTTACATAACAGAAAACATTAAAAAGTCAAACAAGAGTTTCCTTCTGAGACACAGACAGTGAGCATATATAGGGCCAAATAACTAGGTGACTAGGATATTCACTGGAAAAAGAAAAATCTAGCTTCAAAGTTGGGTCAAATCCCAAATATTTTGCTATTTATAATCTTTCTCCATTTCATGAACATTTCTGGAAAGACTTGTCTCCGTTTCATTGCAGAACAAGAATATTTCTGAAATCTCAAAAACTTCCATAAAATGAAATTATTGTTCTCTATTCAGGTATCACAGCAATTATTACTTAAATATTTTTAGCTGCCTAACAAAGACTTGCTTCGAACTGATTCCAAGTGATGACATGCTAATGGAAAGCTTTGTGTACAGCAGACACATTATTTGAGCACAGAGGTTCCACTCCCTCCCCCATCAGCATTTTCTGGTAGACTCTACTTATCCTAGGACTTTAGAGAACTGCTGAGGTAATGCTTACACTGAAGTTCAAGGGAAGTTTTGGAACATCCTCTAGTTAAAAAATCCTAAAACCAGAAAAACTTAATTCTTAGCAGGACAACTTAACTTGCAAAAGGAATCTGATTTTCAAGCCAGATCTTGTTTCTGAGTCCTTCTTATTTCAGAGCTGCATTAAAACAGAAGAATAATCTCTTCAGAGAGTCAATATGGTTTCCATTTGGTATTATCCCATGACTTGAGATAATTCCATTACTGCTACAGCTCTCAAGTGGGCGAAGGAAAGACATTTTCCTCTGTTTTTGAAGGTAATCAGGGGTATAATGGGAACGAGGGGGAGCAAAAGGCAGATAAACATAGGGTATTCTTTAGTTTTACAAAACTGATCAAGGGAAGAACTGTGTGAAAAATCATGAACAGGTCACAGACACAGTGACCATGGTAGAGTAGCTTACCTTCTACTCTAGATACATGTGGGATATGTTGAGCTTAAACATAAAATGTAAGCAACCTCTCTCTGGTTAATATGTTCGTAAATCTACTGAACTGTAGCTCACAGCTGCTATGTTCCCCAACAGGAGTATGTTTCTGCTTGCTTATAAGCATTTCTACATGTGTTTCAAAGGCGTTTGCTGGCTCCAATTTTGTACTCCCATTTACTCTCATCCTGAAGAGGAAAGAAAATGTATCTATATATGTAGTTTCTATTACATCTCATATTTCCAGTCTTTCAATTTATAGATTAAGAATAGATTGTTTTGAAAGGAGATGAAGAAAGAAACTGTGCAAGTCAACAGGATAGCCTTCAAAACACAGGTCTCAGCTTTGACTTCAGCTGGTGGGGAAAGAAGAGAGGAGTGAATATTGATATGTGTTTTTAGAGAATGCATTAGGAACAAGAACAGAGGTTCCCAAACTTTTTTGGATTTCTATCAACCCTCAGAATTTCTTGCGGACCACCAGGCATCGTTATCATCAAACTTTTAATTGAAAACACTATTAAAAACAGTGTTTAATATGGCTCTGCGGATTAGCTGTGAACCCTTTACCATGGCCTCCTGGACCACCAGTGTTCTGCAGACCACGGTTTGGGAACCACTGAACCAGACTACACACATCGTACACCCCAACAAAACACTTCTGTGTCTGAAAGCAAAGTCAGTCCTTCTATTGCGCGACATAGTCAAATAATACACAAGTCAGTTTAACCTTCTTGGTACTTGAAGAACACAGCACCCTTTTATTTTTCTCTTACCTTACATTGCTTTTTTATTGCTTTGGAGAAACAAGTAAATGGTGCCAAAAACCAGTTTATGATTGTTTCTTGTAGGATCTTTCTTGCATCCAGCAGCAGTGTAACCTTTCAGGAAGCTATCTATGAAAATAAGAAATACAAAACATAAAAAACCCTCACACCATGCACTAGTAATTCCAGAATAGTTATGATATCTGTGAATCTTAAAATAAAAAACTAAAAATAGATTCTAAGCTTTCGGGGTTTTTTTCCTCCTCTGGAAAATTTGTTCTTTTTTTTCCTTCCCAAATCCATTAATGATGTTAGAGCTCTGTGTGTGGTCATTAAAGCATTTCAGCAACTTTCTGCAAATTCTTTACAGTTATTCTTTGGCTGCAGTATTACAGAATTGTCTGTTTATCACCAGCCAAACACTCAGAGGAAAATGATGATAGCGCTGGGAAGGGAACTTATAGGGAAACATTATAAATATGAACAGTAAAACACCAAGGGCCATGATCCAGCCCTACATTAAGACAGCGACAGAGTGTGGTCTCATGTGAGAGTAGGAATGAGCTGTAGCATCCCTTTTGATTGTTCTGCCTCTGTATCTCCTTGTTTATGTGCATCCCGCAGGCAACTCAGCCAACCAGTGTCTAGTAAAAAAAGGGGGTTTACTTGCCTCTCTTCACCTACTCAACACCAATGGCTATAACATGGAATTGGGAATGAGGAACCTTGGCAATTAGTGGCACCACAGAAAAAATCCAAACAAACTTTTTTCTAAAAAGACTTTTTTCTAAACAAGACTCTGCTTCCATGACAGTATCTCACTTGTTTTGGAGAGCACTTCCACACCCCAGGTACGCTCAATAGCCAAGGTAGAGCAGAGGTTTGAATCAGAGTGGGAGTGGGAAGGGGTCATTACCAAAACTAATGCACAAGAGAAGTCAGTACTTTACCTTTAAAAAAACCAAAACCTACCCAGCTCTTGTCTATATAGGTTGCTTTTGGAATACTTTACACTCAGCATCACTAATGGGCACTACCGGAGCATTTATAAAGGTGAATTCATAATCTTTCCCATTTGTGTTGCAGCCCTCTCAAACATCTGAAAGGGTCTGGTTTTCTTATGTTGTCTGAACACAAAAGTGTTCAGTGTTCTTTTTCATGCAGTGACAATGGTTAGATGTAACTATTGTTTTCCAGTGAGCACTGCCACCAGTGACTCACTTATTATTCATCTGATATAGAAAAGTTCAGCCTACAAACCTGACTAGACAGTGTAAAAACAAATTGTGTTGCCTCTCCTCACCACTGACTCATTGCCAAATTCCCCTCTGGTGAAGGGGGTTAGGTGGGGCTGTCATATGGCTGGTGCTTACCTGGGGTAATATGTCCCAGTTGAGCCAAGCATTTTAAACATGTATGCAATTCTGTAAGAATGAGAATTACCCACCAGAAGTAATGCTCTCCTCGCATTCCTG